TCACCATAAACTAACGCCCTATATTTATATATACTTTTAACCTATCTAAGTAGTCGTTATGACCTCACCCGGCTACCCTATATGGTGCCCAAATACAACCGTTTGCACCATCTCACATATGAGATGAACATTCTCGGGTACCTCTATCAAGAAGCACCCTAAGTTCTGATTTAACTCAGAACCTTAATCTTTTTACTAATTCGTATATACTCCGCTATATATACTACTGTACAACGTCTACCAGTTATAATCCACCCCTCATCACTTATCACATTACTCCTAATTCATTTCTTGTATAACTTTAAAATTGGTGTCCTAGGAGTGGGCGCTTTTCTTGCTTCCAGTTTGATGTCCTTCGAGATGTTACTTCAGATCCTAATCCATATCTCAAGCCAGGTGCTGCCGCCGTCCGAAAACCCGTATCTCAAACCACCTGCTGCCACCATTAGAAGAGCTATTCGCATGGTTCCAAGTATTCACGTCGTATACCACCAAATTAGGCTACCGCTCTTTTTATAGTACTCCCTCTTGATATGGTATTACAGAAGTCTAGATTCTTAGGACGGGAGTTAAGTACCTCATTTAATTACTGTCACAAGCTAGTAACCCAGGACCTGCGATTCTGCTATATTTCGTCATGCTTTCACGACTTCCATATAGGTTGTGCGACACATTACTCACTGGCTGACTTTATTTTTGTACCACCAGAACGCTTGCTTCTATGCTTATCGGGGTTTCTTTTAACCAGTTTTCCTTGTTTCCTTGTGCCAGAGGTGTTCCATATTTGGTAAAGCTATTTTCTTACCACAGCCTCTTACTATGTTTACTGCTTCTTTTACCACTTCTGAATATATTGCATACAGACATCCTTCCAATTAAGATCCCAATGCCGCCTTAGGGTTGTTGGTGCTACCTTGCCAATTGTGGATTCATATGCACAGCCTTCTGCAGTATTACCTTCTGTAACTCATGTCACATGCAGTGCCCAATCTTCTCCATAGCTCGGGACTCCTTCCAAGAATTCTTTATCGGCCAAATATGTACTTCACATGGTCTTACCGCTACAGGGTTCCGCATTCAAAAGCCCCCGAAGGTTACAGAGATAATTAATTACTACTAGCTGTAATTGAACCGTCGACCTCGTCTGTGGAGGGCTAGGCGCCTAGACCACTAGGCTACGGGACCCTAACCCAATATATATTTTAAAATTATATTTAAAAATTTTATAAGTTTATTCCTGTGTATTATTGCATAGGTTTACAACTAGTTTAAATTATAAAAAAAAATTTGAAATAAAAAAATTACACAATTATTTGTAAAAAAATTTCTAATATTTTGGAAATGATCTTAAACAAGTTTTTTCTTATAATTATTAATTGTTTTATTACATACAAAAACACCCAAATTGTGCAATATATCAATAGCTGCAAATGAAGTTCCAGATGCTAAAAGATACAAACCAACCTCTAGTTCAAAACTGTTAACAAACATGTTTCTTGCATTAGCTATTATATAGCAAAAACTAACTATGGTTTTTCTTGCTTTTAATTTTTTATATATAGATCTTTCATTAGGAATTAATGCTCTACCCATTTGATCAAAAAGCCTACACAAGCAAGAATCAGCATTTTTTATCATTAGTTGAAAACAAACAGGACTAAGTTCAATAAAACCAGGCTTTTTATATTGATATTTATAAAAAACTTTTGTAAGAATTTGAATTTGATCTGCAAATGTAAAACTATTATTTAATAAAGATGTCTGTGTGTTACAATCATTGTCAATGTTTGCTTCAAGCATCTGAGTAGCATAATCTTTCACTTGTTCAACTAGAGGCTTTTTTTTTACATGACGATCGACTCTACAATATCTAAATAATGACTATAACATATTTCTTGTCTGATTTTTAAATAATCATATTGCTTTAATGTTCTTTTTGTTTGTGCTTTTTTATATGCAATTAAAGTAATTTTTTGAAATATAGTAGAGTTTCTACTACAATTTTGAATAGAACAGGGGCCCTCATTTTTTTTTATAGTAATGAGAGTGGATAGATAGCAATAGCAATATAAAAAAACACAACAACAAGTAATATTGCCAATACAAATAAAAGATTTTTATTTATATATATATATGTACATATGGATAAAAAAAAATTTTATATTTTGGCTAATTAGAATTTTCTAATTACAGCTAGTCAAATAAATTTTTAGGTAAATACTTTTTCAATAGTAGAATTGTGAGAAGAAAAAAAAAATTCAACATTTTTAAATACCTTTAACACAATTCTATTTTGGTAACAATGATGGTCAACTTGATTTGTATTAGAGTGTTCACGGTACTGTTGTACATAATTTTGCTTATACTAAAATTTTTTTTTATATAAAAAAACATTTTTAGCAAAAGCAAAATTATATACCATAGTATTCTAAACACACTAATTTGTATTGGTGCTTATTCCTTTTAGTATCAATTCCATTTCGATGACACAATATCAAACTTGATATAACAATATCTAACTTGATTATTTTGCTATTATATATTTTTTTATCAAATTATTAGCATTATTATTATGTATTACTCATTGCATATATGTAACTTATAATTATAAAATAGAAATGCAGAATAATGTAATATACATTTTAAATAAGTTGCAAAAATAAGCAAAAGTGACAAAAAGGAAAAAAACAAGTTTAATAAAAAAACAAACTGACAATTAAAAAAAAAAAATATTAATAATAATATATCTCTCCAATGATCACTATGACCAAAACCAGAGCAGAACCAAAACACAGAAAAAGTCGAAACAGTATTAGGTGAACTTATAGTGAAAGATTAGAAGAGAGTATTAGTTGGTGTGAAAAGAAGATATTATCCTAGAACAATAGACTCCAACAAAAGGTGGATAGGGTAGTTGCTTCGATAAAAGGTTTTTTCTTTTCAATAGAGAAATTTTGAAAAAACAGAAAAATTGGCTAGACTCCAAATGTTGATCACTGTTTGTAACAAATAAACAAAACACGTTAAGCTATGAATTAGTATATCAGATGTAAACAAATAAACAAAGAAGCAGACACATAAACAAACAAACTAATAATAGAAGTCTAGACTATCATGCAGGAGCTAGTAATACAGAATGATTAGGGTACATCGGAAATATCGATTAACTTTGAAAGGCTTGAAGAATACCAAGACTTGTTTAAAAGATCAGTGAACGAACAGGAGCTAGTAATAGAAAGTCATAAACCAAGCATGTTGCAGAAAGATAAAGAAATTGCAGCACTTACTGGTACGGAACCAGAAACAGTGTATGTATTTCGAAATATAATTGAGCTATACGACTATCGTGAATTTTTGCAAGTAAGAAATAGCGAAGCAACCAGCCACGATGAGAGTAGAGCATCTGCTACAAAAAAGCAGAACATTGAAAGCTTGTTAGTCCATGAGGTTGGTTGTATTGATTATGGGATTAAAGAAATCCAAGCTGATAAGAAGTCTGCACCCAGACTAGAAGAGAATAGTAAACAAGTAAGCATGTTTGAGAAAGCAGGTGCAGTAGTACCAGAGAAGAGTAAGCAGCAAGATGATAATCTCGATATAAGTAAAGAAAAAAAGACCAAATTACACCATGTAAAAACAGTAAAAATTTTAGAGGATCATGGAGTAATGTCAGTTGACAAACAAAGTCCTGAACTAATAGAAGAATTTGTAGTTGAAGAAGCAGATATTGAAGTTAACGTTAGCCAATATGCAAAAGCAGTAGAGTCTTCAAGTATAATAGTAGTACCTGCTAAAGTAAAAGAAAGTAAAAAATACGATATCATAGCAAATAGCCAGTTAACTATACATAATATGAGTAGTGCACAGATTGAGACCTATACAATATTGGATAAACCACTGAAAATGCATCCAGCTCAGGTGTACAAATGTCTTCATTTTTATAGTAAACCAAAATTCATACAGTGGAGACCTTTCGACAAGAGCAAAGCACTTGAATTCTCAATTAAGTTTTGAAGTGAAAAGAGAATGAAAGATTTTAAGCATGTATAGACAATTCACTTCAAGGAAGGAAAAACATGTAGAGTTATGCTGGGGAGTTTTGAGAAAGCAATACTCGAAGAAAGAACATTATATAAGGCGGTTGTTAAAAACCTTTCAAAATTAGCAATTGAAATGCTATTACTGCATCAATTGAAAGTAGTAAATGCGAGAGCAGTGTACATTTCTTACAACAGAAATCAGAATCAACGACACCATAGTGACAATATATTTTGGGTCATGTAAGAAGTTGGAGAAAGCGCTATCAAGAGAGGTGTACTACTTGGATATCAAGCTGGAATGAATTAATGTACAGAATAGAAGTAAAAGAGTGAAGCTCATAGAAGAAACAAGTGAAAACGTAGACAACTTCCAAGGTTCAGAGCTAACGACAAGCAAAAATAAAGAATGAAAGAGACAGCAAATAGTGAAGAGTTCACATAAAAGTGCTACAAAAGGCGACAAAGAAAATAGTGACCCCAAGGTAGAAGGATCATCAGCAACTTCCAGAGGAAAACGAGCTAAAATAGAAAATGAAAAGAGTGATTTTAATCAAAAGTTTAAAAGTATTTTTGATGAGATACTTAGTAGGCTTGACAAAATTAAGAAAAGATATTTTGGGGCTGCTAGCCCCAATCACTTCTAAGATTGCCATGGGCACTTTTATGGAAACTAAGGGGCTACAAGATAGTTTGTATGTCTAGCAAGGTAGTACCCTCAGCAATAGTATTGTTGTGAAACAGGTTTTCTTAGAGTAGCATATAATTTATATTCTATATTTTATATTATTTAGTTTATATTAGATAGTTATTATTTATTATGTATAGTATATTAATATTAGTATTTAAACAGAGAGTTAAAGCCACTGTGGCACATAATGTGGCTAAAGTTATACATGGCCCTCAAGTCCCTCAACTATACCTTCAAGTCTCTCAACACGGCCTCTATCTTTCTCAACTCTCTCTACTCCCTCAACACGGTCTTCAACTCCCTCAACACAGCCTCCTACTCTCTCAAGCACGTCCCTCAACTCCCTCAAGTACAATGTTATATTACCCTTAATTCCCTCTTCTATTTTGTAAAAGGTATATAAAGGGAGCATAAATCCCTTCTAGTAAAAATAGATCTTAGACAGGTCTATACAGGTCTTAAATAGATTTAGATAGCTCTTAGATAAATCTCAATTGCCTCTCTTATGTAGAATTAGTCTTGTAATTCTCTCTTGTAATATATAACTCTCTTTAGGATCTCTAAAGGAGATTATCCTTTATCCTATAATAAATAAAGGTTTAAAATACACTATCCTAATACCGAACTGCTTACTTTCTGCTATGGATACTTAATTGTACTCCACATCCACCCCGTATATATTCTAGTAGCAGAATCTCTGCACCAGATGACCTTGTTACCATGCTATGTGATTACAAGAAAAGCTATAGTATTGTAACATTTTGCTGTCTTCTGGTGAAAATAAATTTAAAACCTAACTGTTCTGGTGGAAATTGCTAAAATGTTGACCAGAAATGCTAAAAACAATCTGAAAACCCAAAACATTAACCAGGAACAGCTCTAAACTCCAACTACTCTAATAGAAACTAAAACCATCCTGAAAACCTAAAATGTTAACTGGAATATCCAACTGTCTTGATGAAATTACCAAAAGCTATCCTAAGAAAACAGACCAAAAACAATGCCCAAAATGATACCTAAGTCCATCCTGGAACTCTAAATATTAACAGGAGTTAGGCCAGAAATAACTAACCAGAAACCTCTAACAAAGTACCGAAGTCTATGCCCAAACACTAAATCGGTACCCGACCTACACCTACTAGAGGAACTACTCAAAACATATAACCAAAACACTTCTTTGGAATCTCTTTCAAGATCCCAGAAACTTAAAGCAAATATACTACCCAAACCAAAAAGCATTTAGGCCCGAATATAAATGCAAGATAGTAAATGTCTAAATTACTCACTAAAGAAAACCGCTTTACAAGGAATACTAATATTCTTATATAACTAGTAGAACCTAACATATATCGCCAATCTAATCAGACCCGGAATGCCCTAACAACAAGTCACAGTACTCTAGCTTACAGAAAGTAGTTTTCAGCCTAGACCTTATAGTACTACAACCCGTACAAATGGAAGTATTATATACCCTACGTATACTATAGCAAGTATATTCGGCAATGTACTAATAATGTGTTTGAAGCATCGCGTTATCACGTGACCCAAGGCTAAAACAACAAAATTAGAGTATTACGGCCCTAATTATCAAGATCAAAAACAATATTACACCAAGGTGATTAGGTATCAAATAGATAAGTAGCCAAAAATAAAAACCATTTATTAGAATGGTAATTAAATAAAACTTAAAAATAAAATGGCATTAATGGACCTATACATAACCACACAATGATATAAGTGAAGTATGCAAGTGCAATTTAAGAGCAGTATAAATAGCCTTGCTCTAATACAAATTTCATAAAAATGCTCAATAGTAAAAGCAATGAAACCAGAGCAATGCAATATCATATTCAAAAATTGAATTCAGATACCAATTCGCCAATTCCTATTGCTCTACAGAAAGATGAGTGCCAAATCAATTACTAAAAAGGATCTGCTTATAGATATATATAGCAGAATCTAAAACAACATCTCTAAATAAAAGATTCTGGATGCTCTATTTGAACCAAAAAGGTTCTTGAAAGCATCTGTCCAAGCCTGAGGTACAGAGAAATACAAACCGATATCCAAGC